GTGCATTACTGGACAACAATTGGACCGGAAGTGATTGACTCCGCTAATCCCTGGAAATTATTTGGAAAGGACAAAGATTACATCGCTAAGTGAGTATGCCCAATGGCTACCATGCTTCTGAACATTGACCATCAAAAAGGAAACTGCTCATTCGATATCATGATACCAAGTGCAAGTACCTGTCTATTTAATTGCCAAAGGTCACATGGGTCTGACCTCCTCCAGTATTGAATATCTTTTTCGCTCGCGCTCTCAACGAGAGGCTGAGAGGGGAGCCAATAATTGTCAACACAGTAAATCCCGGGTATTGCTACTCCAATCTCTCCCGGAATATGCCTTCTATTATACTCATGCTCGACAAACTGGCCAAGTGGATCTTTGCGCGCACCACCGAACAGGGAAGCCGTTCTCTCGTATGGGCTGCCATCGGAGGCGACGAAGACAGGGAAAAACTTCGCGGGGCATACGTTGCCTTATGCCAAGTCTCTGAGGCAAGTGACTATGTGCTTAGTGATGAGGGCAAGCGTGCACAAGACGTACTATGGGTGAGTTCCGAGCTTCTTTAGAATCTGCGAGCACTGGGTCGCCCTGATACTGACTATTGCGTTTCAAGAATGACCTCATTAAGGAATTGACTGTGATTGAGCCTGACATCCGTCAGATCATTCTTGACAATCTTAAGGATTGATACTGGCCGTTTTCTCCACGAAGAGTATTCCAGCCGTAGCTCGCTTCCCTCAACAAATATGGCAATACATCTGGTAATTATATGGATAGTAAATTAGTGGATCATTTTCGATATCTTTGAGAAAATCTTATACTCAGTCAACTATAGTGTTGAGTACTATAGCATATGTATTACTGAGAAATCTTACTTACAATGTATTCCTAATCATAGTACCACATCATTGCATCAGATTGGAGGTCTTCGCGTTGACCTGTAAAGATTTTCGTTCTCATGATATCGTGATCCGATGCCCGGAGTTTTGAGCTTGGTTTGTGGTCCTCTCGACACCTATTTTGGCGGTGTCTTCAAAGTTCAAATGTGATGCATGTGATGGTTGTTCAGCCGTGAGCCACTTTGCATACGAGGTGAGATAATCTAGGCCTTCGGTAAAGTGTTTCCCAGCAATTCTTTATCTTCGCATATATTTTGACGGCCACATTCTTCCTCCTTACCTGTCGGGAGTTGGTTGGGAGGCAGCGCTGAGATCTACTGAGATTGTGGCGGGACGTGACCTATTTTTAGATATTTTTAGTTCGGTTTAAAAATAGCACTCAAACCTGGTCACCACCGCATGGGGGGAGAAAGAAATTTACTGGAGTGTATGTGTTAGGAGACAGGAGCTAGGACAGTCACAGCCCAGTATGGGCCCTTATATAAAATGTGACATGCCCTATCATACACGCACCCTCTCTCTCAGGATGTCGGCCATTTTTGAGGCGCCAGTACCACCAGCCGACCTGCCCAATCCCTTGACACCGATGGCATTTCTACCCCCTAATGTGGCATTTCAATTGTCGGTCAAATCATACGTAGCAGTGGGGACAACTGCTGTGCGTGGTATACAGATAACCTTTGAATAGCTACACCGTACTGATATTTCATCCGTCAGGTTTTTGCGTGGGATGTTGTTAATAGGCTTTCTGAAGATTATCGACTCCTGGTCAAATATCCAGTGAGATTGCCTACTCTCACATATTTTCTATCAAGGTGTGAGCACTAAAACCGGATCTTATATAAAATCTGCTGATAGAAAGCCAGGATCTCTACTTTTGTATACGTGATAGCATGTACAGTTTTTGACAGTGAGTTACTCGTCCCAGTCACACTGATCAAGTAAAATCTAAGCCGAGTACATATTCTTAGCTGCTCCCGTTGGAAATTGTACAAGACTTGCGCACCTGGTCGACTGGTTCGTCATAGTCGTGGTATCGTCAACATCCTTCTTGTTTGTCCTCCGGGTCTGGGCAATATTTGGCTACAATCAGTACATCCTTGCCTTTTTTCTCTTGAGCTGGCTATCAGTTACTGGAGCTACTGCAACCATTGGTATTGGCCTTCAAGGAAGCGCAAAAAATATTGGGACCACAAAATATTGCATGTATACGCACGCTCCTTCATATATTTCTAGTTCTTTCATTGTTCCCTTCATCCACGACACTTTGGTCTTTGCTGCTATAACATGGCGACTTTTCCAAAATATCGCTTCCGATTCGATTGGAATGAGAAAGGGAATTCGGATGGTGATTTTCGGTGATTACCTCCCAGTGTTCTCCCGGGCTCTATTGCAGGACGGACAAATGTACTATCTGTGAGTCCCGTTCTAATGAATTATGCTGCAAATCGGGTCTAACCAGGCTGATTCAAAGGACGGTCCTGACGTCAGGCCTCATCACAATCATCATGTTCTATCTCCCGTTCCCTCCAGGATACAAGTTACTTTTCACAATCCCTAATATCACCATAGCAAATATCATGGCCGCTCGGGTGTACAGGAACACCAAGTTTGAGCGTTACAAAGACTACCCTCTACCCAGTATTCAATTGCGCTTCGGCACATCCGAACCTGAATTGGCTTCCCACAGCTTTCCCATGCCTATTAGTACATTCTCGGCAGAAACATCCATTGCACAGCCCGGTTAGTACCACAGAAGTCGTATATGCGCACTTTGGATCTGACGAGAATAATGTTAAAATTGGTTGTCCAGACGGTGTCGAAAATTATATTAGTAGTAATCAGAACAGTATTGACGGACCTAAGATTGCACGAGTGAGTCAATATCTCCTTCTCGACCGGATTTTGTGTCTAAAATGTATGGTAAACTCATTTCAGGAATAAAGGACTCGATGTTAATCTAGTACCCACTCTCTGTTCAGAGTTCCATCGGATTCTTGTTATCTTTATTATTTCTGACAAGAGATAAAACCTTGAGTTTTACCAATATTAATTACTGACAGATAGAAAAACAGCCGGTAGATGTGCAGTCCCTATATATTTTTATGTATCTTATTCATTCAAGGTCGACCGTGCGGCTGTCTAAAAATAGCATTTACCTCGCCTTGCCAATGAGTTTTGTGTGAATCATTTTCATACCCTGAGCTTGCTATCAGTCCGTTTCGAGTAATACCAATTGCCTGTGCTGCCAATCTCTTATGCCTGCAAAACAGGTTTTGATAGGATTCGGCGTCGATGTGGATGCTGTGGCAGGGTGGTAAGCGCTTGCTATTGAAGAGTTCCAATGCATGTACGCCTTATCTGTATCAACACCGACCCGTCCTTAGGCTGGGCTCCTACGGCGGAGAAGACTCTCCACTGGACATATCAAGGGTGGGTTTTGATCTTGTCATCGCGATACGGACACATGGCGACCAGTGATTCCCAGGGAATGTATGCAGGCGAAGTTGGAGTTCTGCGCTTGTTGAAGTTACTCAAGAAATATTCCATTCAAGCTACATGGTTTATCCCTGGTAAATATTTACACAAGCTCTGCCACAGGTGATTTATATTTGAGCAGGCCATAGCCTGGAAACATTCCCGGAGCAGATGAAGATGGTGAGAGACGCTGGCCACGAAATGTAGGTGTCGTTGGTAGGCGAAATATTGTATCAAGGGTGTCGCTCATTGTCAATTGGTCAAATAAAACGACACGGACAGCGGCCTTCATGGATACTCTCACGAGGTATGCGAACCTGCAGCCTACAACAATATGAGCCTCATTTTTTTCTTTCTAGAATCCATCAGCCTTGTCTGCAGAGCAGCAAAAAGATGTTCTTGACTATACATATAAGTTGTTGACGGACTTCAACCACGGTATTCCGCCTAAGGTTGGATCTTAGCATTTCTTTAAACCGGCTCCTAATATTTCAGAGAATACGCAGGGCAGCGTCGCTCCATGGTGGGAAGCCACTAAAGAGGGTATTTCTCTCCTGCTTGACAAAGGAATAGAATACGGTGCGTATCAATTAAATGATGCTCCTTCACCTCAATTCAATCTGCCACGTTGCTGACGGATCCTAAGATCATTCCAGCATGGCCCACGAGTACGTTCATATTATAAACACCACAGACATTGATCTGATTTAATACCATAGTTCTCAAGCCTATTATATGCGAGATGCCGACTCGTGGACGAAGATTAACTACAAGGCCAAAGCGGAGACCTGGATGAAGCCATTAGTGAGAGGCAATGAAACCGGTCTCGTATGCATTCCTGGGAATTGGTATCTCGAAGACATGACGCCCATGATGTGAGTTCAGCAAACGCCGAACGCCTGCCATTTGATTTACATCAATTTCTGTCACGATGTAGGTTTATCAAGGCGAGCCCGAACTCGCATGGTTGGGTCAGCGCAACAAATTTCTATCTGCTAATTAAAAGCTAACGGAACTCAGGTCAACTCAAGGGACGTCGAGCAGCTCTGGAAGGACACTTTCACCTATTGCTACAGGTATCATATTCGATTTATTTTCCAAGGGACATGTCTAATCGTCTAACAAAGAGAAGAAGAAGAATTCATATTTCCTCTCTCAATACACCCCGATGTCAGTGGGTGAGTTGACCGAGCAATTTCTTCACAGTCATATCAGTGACCAGAAGAAAACAAATATTATGCAGCCACCCGCACGTTCTTTTGATGCTCGTAAGGCCGCTTTATGCCATGTAGCAGGAACTACCAAAATTGACCCCAATATCACAGGAACGGTTCATTGAATGGGTCAACACGCACGACAACGTCCGCTGGGTGCCCATGATCGAGATGGCTCGCGATTTCAGGCGGAAAAACAAGCCTGCGCAAGGGGCAAAGATGCCGTTTGGATACCGCGAGCCAGAGAATTCAGAGGCATGAAGCAAATCGCGCCGCTCGTGTATCACAATGTACTTACATACTTCTAGCCCTCATAAATCCACTTCGCTTTTCCGTGACCATCCCATTGAAACTCGCGCCGGACCCACGCACTCCGGCCCGGGTAGCGACGGCGGGAGGACATTTCAGAGCCTGCCTAGCTCAATCGGATAGAGCGTCAGACTCTTACAATTAGGCAGGGTACATCTGAAGGCTGCGAGTTCGACCCTCGCGGTGGGCTAATAGAACTTTTTGGACTTGTTGAAAGAGTCCCCACCGCGGTGACTGTTCACTAATGAGTCCTGAAAGTTGATTCTTGAATCGGACTCTTCATTGTATTTCAATTTTCATAATGTCGTTTTCATGCCATCATCTTGAACTTGAAGCTTGGAGTTGATAGTGACTCCTGTTCAGTCACGTCAGTGTTCGGTGGTCACTGACTCACTGGACAGTGGAGACCTGATTCCGGACTCGTTCGGAATCGTTGTGAGTGTACTGAAAATTAAAATTAGTAAGTTAGAATAGACCAGCCGACAGCGGCTCCTGGAACCTGAAGGCTGAGAAAAGACACCTGCTTGAGTTCTTAGCCCCCATATAATTATTTTGGAAGTCGACATTATGCAGTAGTGCGATCTAGAATCAAGAATGAATGACATTGCCACGGGTGTCGGGCTGCGCAGGTTCTAGTGGCCCTATACTTAGTCCACTGACCAACGCGATACCTCACCCTACCTCACCCTGATCACCAGCCAGATACGGCCCACATATCCGGCGCGCCTCACCCATCGACGTGCATCGGCTCTTCCTCTTCTTCCTCCTCCTCTTCCTCTTCTTCTTCCGGCTCGTCCGGTGAGTTAACCGCCGCGTACGCGTGCATGCTGAATGCGACGCCATCGTCAGCTGCAAGTGGCGTACGCGCGAACGCCTCTGGGGCGTGCTCCTCATCGCGGGGTGGCGGCGCAAAGGGCACCTACCAAACACGTTCGCGGCGCCAAATATAGCACGCAGGGGAAGGAGAGGCGCAAAGTCAACATCGCCGCGTCTATTTTGAATTGGTTCAGCAGTACACGTACCTCTGACTGGCGCGGCGCGGCGAGCCGCGGGCTGCGCCCATTCGCAAGCACATTTGGGGTGCGCCTATCTTGCGCGGCGGCGGCGGCCCCGTTGACGCGCGGGCTCCGCAGCGGGAGGTCCTCCGTGTCCATGCCCGCGCCTATCGCGGTCGGCGTGTCCGTCCGACGGGGCGTCCTTCCGCCGGCGTCGCCGCTGCTCACGGACACGTCCTCGGGCGCGAGCGGGATGCCCGCCGCCGAGTGCGCGGAGCTGTGCCTGTCCCCGCGCCTGCGCGAGCGAGAGGACGAGGCGTTTGACAGCCGCCGCGAGGCACTGCCTCTTCCCGGGGCGCCGTTGCCTAGCGCAGTGCCGTTGCTGCTTGCTGATGAGGGCGGGGGCATCGACATGGAGGGTGACGGCAGGAGAGGATGTGGAGGTATAGTTGACATCGCTGACCCCGGTGGGCCCGACATAGATGACGAAGAAGATAGAGGAGGGGCCATAGAGCCCGGGGGAGGCATTGAGGAAGAGTACTGAGTTGGAGGATGTTGCGGCAGTGCTTGGGGATATTGCTCTGAAAAGCGCTGTTGTGAAGGCGCTTGGTTCAGCATTGGTGGCGGGGGGAAAGGCGCAGAAAGAGGAGGTGGTGATGTCGGTGCGGGTCCAGGAAAATATCGCTGGTACAAAGACGAATCGGCCAGATACATGGCATCAAGGAGAAGACTACCAATTAATTTATGTTAGCATAGGTTCAAGATGACTTTGAGGATATATGCGGACTCATTTTCAGCCTGCAGCTTCTTCATTTTGGCATTCAAAGTGTCCAGATCGCGCTGCTGCGTTTCGTGAGACTAGAGCATAGACATCGCAGGAGTGGCACAGGGAGAAGGGACGAGTCACTTAAGATAACATTCAACGAGTGGTTTGGACATCCACTTACAGCAGTCACTTTATCGTATCGCTCGCGCATTCGTTGGAATCTACAAGACATATCTGTTAGCGTATATACTTCATCCAGAAAAAACATAGTGGGTGATATCATTTCGTAAGGAAGGTGCGCTTACTTATCCTTGAAAGAGGTGGTTTTCTCTGAATGCGACTGAAAAAACAGTTGATTCAGGCACCGATGACAAGGGATTTGGAGAACATACCTTCGCCGCCCGCTCCCTCTCAAGCTCTCTCATTTCTCTGTCCTTTTCTCGCGCCCTTTCCCGCACAATCTCACGCTCCCTCTCCCTCTCCCGCTCCCGTTCCTCCTCACGCTCCCGTTTCTTCTGCTCGCCGCGGGCGGTCCGCACGCTTTGTGGCGGGGGCAGGCTGATGGTCAGCGTGGTCTCCATGGAATGTCCGGGCGCGGAATGGAATTTGGCGATCATTCTGGCGTGAGTGTTGTTGAGTGAGGCTCCTAATTGTTGCGAAGGTCCCGATTTACAAATTACAGCGTTTGAATGGGAGGTGATGACACTGTCCAATTGGGGCTATTCGCATATGTGTAGACAGAGTACCAGTTTGGGGCTGTGGGCTGCTGTACGGCGTCGTCTTTGTGCTGGATGGGTGCTCCGCGTGGCGGTGAACGAAAAAAGCCCAGTCTGTTGTTGATGGTGATACGTAGTCGACCCGCACTGGTGGCGTCACGGTCGAATGTTTACGTTGAATGTCATGAACGAACGTCGAGTTTGCATCCGCTCACGTGCGCCTTTGATCTGGAGGAGTAGTCGAATTAATCAAGCCTCGGTATAATTGCTTCCTACTCGCCACCACTGTACTACTTATTTAGCAACATAAGGGAAGGTCTTGGGAAGGGCGAGTTTTTCAACGAGTCATTTCTCATGAAATCATTTGTTCTAATCCGCATCTAAAATTGTACTAGGTTTATGTAAACTTCTATGACCTCTTCAAGCACAGTTTTGTAACACACGGTCTGCCTTTGCCATTTGACAAACGCCCTTGCAGCCTCAAAGACTCTGTTTGTCTTTCGGTGCGCCGGGAAAAGGGCGATTATACTTCGCCTAAACTTGTCCTAAAAACATTGCGCTGGGGATTCCATGATGTAATCGAGAGATACAAATATACATGTTCTCCCCCCTGGTTCTTGCGTGTCAGCTACATGTTTTCGACAAGCGGAACAAGAATATCTTACTCAGGAGAAGTTCGTCAATCTGCTTGTTATGCCATTCCTCAGCTGACATTACGATGCGTTCGTGATTTGTGAATCACTCTGATCAGCTACTCGGCATTGGATATAACTTCGATATCGGTATTCAGTCGGTATCGATGGATTAAAATCACCCTTGCATACCAGCCATATAGCAGGTGAGTAACAAGGGTGCCTCTCGACTTTGCTTGGAGACTCGGAATCGGCGCGTGCTGATAACCGGGCGCTTAACCAAATCTGCCCTATTTTTACACTCCGCGGTGGACATGCCCTTCCTCCCTCCCAACCCAGCCCAAGCCTCTACGCAATATACATGATTTTTCTGAAAACAGTAATGCCTAGTTTTATTTTCAATCAAGGAAATTGGTGAAGATGTTAAGTACAACTAAGTACTTAGCGCTCAGACGAGAGTCGTATCAAACTCCGACATGAACTCCGTGAGGCAGTGCAGTCGCATCCACGACCCACCTTTCGGCCAGAACCACCACCAAGCTTTCGGACGACGGGCTGTCTTTTCCGGACACATGATACCCATGTCAATCTCACATCCCTGGGCTCTATAGCCTTATCTAGGGGCACGAACGCGTCATTTCTTATCCTCTCCCATCGCATTCCCAGCTCACCACCATCGATGGACGTCGAACAAGCACGATCCCACTTCCCCGCGCTCGCCAGTGGCTTCGTCTTCGCGGACAACGCGGGCGGCTCGCAGGCCGCGCGCGGCGTCGTCGACCGCATCAGTGACTACCTCCTGAACACGAACGTGCAGCTCGGCGCGGACTACTCCGTCTCTGTGCAAAGCACGACGCGCGTGCTCGCAGACGGGCCGCGCGCGGCTGCCGCGCTATTCAACGCGCGATCGCCGGACGAGATTGTGTTCGGGAGCAGCTCGACGCTCAACCTCGAGAACCTCGCGCGCGGGCTCGAACCGGGCATCCAGGCCGGCGATGAGTTCATCATCACCGGCGAGCACGAAGGTACGTAGCACATAGCACATATACGCTGCGGGCCGCGGGCCGGTGGCATTGACGCGATCGCAGCTGATGCCACCGCACAGCGAACACGGGCCCGTGGAAGAAGCTCGCTGCGCGCCGCGGCGCCGTCGTACACGTGTGGCGCCCACGCGCGACGGTGCCCGGGAACCCGTACTCCGTGAAGCTGCAGCTCGCGGACCTGCTCCCGCTCGTCTCCGCACGCACGCGCATCGTCGCGATCACCGCGTGCTCGAACATCCTCGGGTCGATCGTGCCCGTGAAGGAGGTCGTCGCCGCTGTGCGCGCGGAAGCGGCGGCGAAGGGCGCGCCGAAGGTCGAGGTGTCTGTCGACTGCGTCGCGTACGCACCGCACCGACTTATTGACGTGCAAGACTGGGATGTCGACTTCGCGGTGTTCGCGTTCTACAAGGTCCGCGCAGGCACTACTCAGGCTTGTCCGAGTCGCTCACGCTGAGACTAGGTATACGGTCCGCACATCTCCGGACTCTACGTTCGCGCCAGCGTGCTAGAGCACTCCGTCACCCCAATCGTGCACCACTTCCTCCAGGTCGACAAGATCGCGTACAAGCTGCAGCCGGGCGGGCCGGGATACGAGATCGTCTACGGGAGCACAGGCGTCCTACCTTATCTTCTGTCGCTGACGCCCGCGAACAGCCTGCAAGCGAGCTTCGCCGCGATCGCGGCGCACGAGCAGACCTTGCTTGCGCCGCTCATAGCATTCCTCACGGACCCTGTGCAGCGCGCGCGCGGCGTGCGCGTCGTGGGCGAGGAGACGGTCAACCTCGAGCGCGTTCCGACCGTCAGCTTCGTCGTCGTCGGGGAACGTGCGATCCGGAGCCCGGACGTTGTCGCGTTCTTCGACAAAAAGGGTGGCGTGAGTGATCTCTTGGTCCACGCATGACCTGCTTTGCTGACGCTTGCTCTCAGATCGGTATCCGCTACGGCCATTTCTACGCTTACACACTGGTGGATGAATTGTTGCCCAAGATCAGTATCGACGATGGAGTGGTGCGCATCTCCCTGGTTCACTACAACACA